GAGCAATAAACAAAATTGTGAGGACCTGATTTTTTAAATAGATTTTTAATAAATTTCTAGAAGTCGGATATGTTTGCAAACTATCTAGATCGATAGATATTTTTATTCTAAACAACTTTGCATTTAATATTTTTCGATTCGGCCCCAAAAAGCCGAGAACAACAAAAAATAAAAATTGGCCCCATGTTCCAGATTCCACCGTTCCGCCAGCGCCGCTAAGTCACCGACGCTAATTTGACGGACATTCCTATTTTGGGGTTTTCCTTTCATTTTTAATATTTAGTTTCCACATCGCCTTTGCACGAACACCGCCAAAAATTAAATTTCCTATTCTTTGGGCCGCGGCTAACGGCGTTCATCGAACTCGCGAAATCTGGTATTTTTTCTGGTATTTCCTTAGCTCATCTGAGTACCGCGCTGAAAAACAGACCCGACGAAAAGCTTTAGCCGCCTGTTTACCTTTCGCTCACTCCTATGGTTAGCTCGCGGTTTTCGTCGATGTGAGTACTAGGCTTAAGCGGCAATATAAATTAGTTTTCGTAGTTTATTTTAACGATTGCTTATATTAAAATTGTAAACAGAAAAATAGAGGTTTCAAATATTATAATTGAATTGCGCTGGGTGCTATGATACTTTTCCCCAAAAAGCAGTATTTTAGTCATTTTAGACTATTAGTTTGTTCGGCAACTTTGGTTTCACCCATACGATTTTTAAGCACCCAAATCGACCCGCCCTAATATATATACTTTATATGGTCGGAAAAGCTTCCTTCCACCTGTTATAATATAATACTAATATACCATTTTACTCTACGAGTAACGGAAGTTATCATCACTGCTAATTTTCAGACATCAATATATACCCGCTCGACGCGAGGAGCAGGCTGGAGTAGAACTGCAAATTTGCGGCCCCTTAAGGGGTTATTATATCTTCTTTGTCGAAGAAAAAGAGGAAAGTTTGGATTTTTTTTTTGGTATGTAGCAAATATTTCATTACACGAATGTTTTAATTTTTTGATTAACAACGTTTGTGCAAAATTTCGTGGAAAAATATTAAATAGTTTTTAAGGGGTGGCTGTTTCCCTTAGAGGCCTTTTTTTTGAAGAGCCATGCGGTGATACTTCCCCAGGTCGAACAGGTCAACTGAAACCATAAAAGTAAACAAATTTCATTAGTTTAGTCTAATTCCTTGTGCTTGAACGATCGTTTTTAAGATCGTTTTTTTTTTTTTGTGCATACGGGAACGTTTAATGCTAAAAATGAACTTTTTGGTCGCTAGAAATTTCACTAAAAAATTCATTTCGGCGAAAAAAAATTTTCGATCGTTCAAGCACAGAAAAATTTCATTACGAACATTTAAAAAAAAAATTGAAGTAAATCGGTTCAGTAGTTTTCCGCCAATCCATATCACCGCAAAGTCATTTTTCAAGAAGCACCATTTCGAGATATTCGCGTTTAAAGTTTCAAGTTCAGTTCAAGGGCCGCAACGAGGCGCGCGGTTAGGAGCGTTGTAACTTTTTTTGTACTGCTCGAATCTCTATGAAAATTTGGGAAAATGTTCTCAAGAAGTTGTTCTTTAAGATAAAGCAATAAAAAATTTTTTTCGATTTTTTGAAAATAAAAAAGGTTTATAACCCCTTAAGCATAAGTATCATAGTAGCAAATTCGATATTCAGGTGGTGATCAAACACATAAAAGGCTTTGTTCACGCTTGCCTCTTTATTTTAGTTGAAATTGTATGCTAAAAGATTACCCTCTATTGTAAAGCATTATGATCCACAATGAAAACGGTAAATCATAAGCTTTCTTGTTATGCACAGCCCAACCAAATGTATAACCAAAAGCAGAACACAGTCTCACACAGAACTTCGTGAAGTAAATATCATTGACTCCGTCGTTTTAATTTTTGGATCAAGCTCCGCCATCTGCACAGGGGCAGAAGCGGTGCAATAACAACAACCACTGGCATTTGCACGAGAGCAAATTTCACCTTTGGCTGCCTCCCATTAGGCAGCGGATAAAACATTGGCGACCGTGACAGGACAGCTGTCCTAAACCTTAACAACTCGGCTGCGAGGGATCACAAGGGATTCAGTAGCTGCTACAGTTCAAGCGGATCAGTTGAAAAGTTATCTCAACTTGGACTTTACGGCATTACACCATTACGTCAGAGTGTCACTTGGCCCTTTTGGAATCTCACTTTAGGCAATTGTGTTAAGTTCAACAGCAAATTGAAGAAATAGACTTCGAAGAAGATTCTCGCGATCAGTTTGAGGCAGATTTTATAGCAACAAAATCTACGCTTTTAAAACGAGCAAATGTTAGCAACCGCAATGGCCCTGAGGACTCCGTCTTGATAAATTCCACCTAATTAGGGGCCGGCTCCCATAAACGATTACCTTCTCTAAAACTACCAAAATTTGACGGAAAATATGGCAAGTACAACCGTTTTATTGCAGCCTTCAATCATATGGTTCATGATGATGTCTTACTTTCTGATATTGACAAGTTTACGTATCTACTCGGATGTCTTTCTGGTCCTGCATTGAGTGTAGTGGCTGCATTTCAAGTATCAGAAGAAAATTACAAAAAGGCATTGGAGCGCCTTAAGGAACGATACGATAAAAAAGTGGGGTATCAACACTTTTTATGTATCTTTTGCCATTTTTCAAATGAGAAAATCTGATTCCTCATCCCTTCGAGAAATTTTAGATTAAGTGGCAGCGTTCTCTCTCTTGGCACCGAAGAAAATGCATTTGAAGCCATTTTAATTAAGCTCGATTTGCAAAAGATCGATTCAGATTCAAAACATGCTTATGATCGAGGTCAGAACTATGAGCAGTTTTCAACTTGGAATAATTTCTACAACATTTTAGGTAGGCACTGTCAGTTTCTAGAATGCAGCGCAAAGCCAGGCCAGGAGTTCAAGCAGTATGATAAGCGTCCATAAAAACTAAATCACCCCCACAAAAAGGCATTCCTAACGGCTAGAGGCAGTTGTATAAAATGCGATTCTACAGATCACAATCTAGGATCGTGCCCTTCGCTTGTTGCCCTTCCACATGAGAAGCGACATGCTTGGATCAAACAGGCAGCGCTATGTTTAAACTGTCTTCATAAGAGCCACATCGGAGCTGACTGTCCTTCGAAATTTCGCTGTAGGACTTGTCGCGGGTTGCACCATTCTTCGTTACATAGCAGGAGTGAAACAAAAGAAACTTCTCAACCAAATGAAGAACAGACAAACCAGCAACCACGCTGCTCCACACAAGTAGTCGCATGTCTTTCTCGTAAATCAAATCGAGCTCTTATTCCAACCGCTATAGTTCCTATCCAGGATAAATGCGGAATGTTTCACCCGGCAAGGGCCTTGCTTGATTCTGGCTCGGAAATTAACTTTATCATAGAAACTTTGGCCAACAAATTACAACTTCAGCGAAAACGTCAACAATTTGAAGTTTCTGGTATAGGAGATGTTACAGCAAAACTTCAGTTCTCAGTCTGCTGACGAATGGTCATTGCAATTTGCTATTACCAAGACAATAGCATTGACTCAACCCGCCACTCGTATAAAACAATCATCAACGTGGTCAATCCCTGACGGAATAGATTTGGATGACTTATTGCTTCTTAAGCCAAAAAAAATTCACATTTTACTAAGCACCTAGGAATTCTTCGAATTGCTCACTGGCGGAAAATTATCACTGGGGCCTAGGCTGCCATGCCTACTTAACACTACACTCGGATGAATTATTGGTAGACAAGTTGTTGACAATCCGCAATCTGGGGCGAAGGCTAATGTTCTTATGTGCAAAATCTCGCAGTCCCAACAGTTTCATGAAAAACTAAAAAGGTTTTGGGAAATCGAATCATTTCCAGAACCATCTCAAAACCAGTACACAACTGAAGAGGAAGAATGTGATCGCCACTTCAGTGAATGGGCGAGTTCAAGTTCGGCTTCCCTTTTCGAAATCTACCCAACATTTGGGAAGTTCAGTGGAAATTGCCAAGCAACGATTTTGGCAAATAGAGCGTCGTTTACAACGTTTACCCGATAAAAAAAAATGTATTCTGATTTCATGCAAGAATATATTGATCTGGAGCACATGCAACCTGTAGATAGTTTCGACTCAAATCAACCTCACTATGTAATCCCGCATCTCGCTGTACTGCGTCCAGACAGCTCAACAACAAAGTTGCGTGTAGTTTTTGACGCATCTGCAAAGTCGTCGACGGGAGTATCATTAAATAACATTTTAATGGTTGGACCGACAATTCAGCAGGACCTTATCTTAACCCTGCTTTCATTTAGGTTGTATAGGCATGCTCTAACAGCTGATATAACAAAAACGTATCGGCAATTCATTGTAGATCCCCAAGACCGCAAGTTTCAGTTGATTTGCTGGAGGCACAATATTTCTGACCCTTTGAAATTATATCAGTTGAATACTGTCACATATGGGCTTGCTTGTGCACCGTTTCTTGCCATCAGAAGTTTGCATTTCATAGCAGAAAAATATAGGAAAGAATTTTCTATAGGATCTGAAATTATATCTAACGAGATGTATGTCGATGACCTCCTTACAGGAGCTGACTGCATTGAGGATTTAAAATTGAAGGTTGATAAAAATACTGGAATCTTGTCTTGTGCCGGATTGGAGTTAGCCAAATGGAATTTTAGCAAGTTGGATGATAATATCAAAGAACATCGATTCAAGTTAGACAGCAAAGATATCACAAAAACCTTAGGAATGTCGTGGAGGCCCCAGGTGGATGAATTTAGCTTTCAGTTCGATTTGCCAAAAACTAACGCTATGTCGAAAAGGAACATTCTTTCAATTATTGCACGCTTGTATGACATACTTGGCTTGTTAGGACCAGTGGTTACAAGATGCAAAATTTTTGTGCAGGAGCTGTGGATGAGTCATTTGGATTGGGATGAAATACTGCCTCAACAATTAATAGATCGTTGGCAATCTATTTATCCTGACTTGCACAATTTAAACCAAATCGGCATACCCCGATATAGGACTTTCCCCGAAACATGACTGCGAAATACATGGATTCGCAGATGCTTCACAGCGTGCATACGGCTGTTGTAAGGTCAAAGGTTGCCCCAAGTAAAGTTCTTTCTCTTCCACGATTAGAGCTCTGTGCTGCATCAATTCTTTGTGATACGTGGAACAAAATAAAACATAAGTTCAGCAACATACAAAAGGTTTTCTGGACAGACTCCAAAATCGTATTACACTGGCTCACTATGCACTCTTCCCAATTGAATTGCTTTGTAGCCAATCGGATCTCAGGAATTCAAACTCAATCATCGAACATTTCTTGGCGTCATGTGCCAGGAAAAGAAAACCCGACTGACATCATATCTCGTGGATGCAAGGTCAGCGAACTTCAAAATACAAGTTGGTTTACAGGGCCAACCTTTCTTAAGTTGGAAGAACATCTTTGGCCGCAGTCGTTGGACAAAATCGAAACCATAGATGCGGATTTGGAAATAAGAAAAATTTCATCATTCAAATGCACCGAACCTAAAGAAAACATCCTTGATCAAATTCTCAATCGAATCTCTTTGTATCGTGTTCTTCGAGTCACAGCTTACGTTTTGCGGGCGTTTAACGAGATCCCTGCAAGCAAAAACCTCTGCGTGTCGCAAGCGGTTGAAATGCCAGCAACTGAGTTGCATCACTCGTTCCTGTTTATTGTAGGACTTATTCAGCATCAAACATATTGGAAGGAAATAGATTGTTTACAGAAGGGTAAAGTCCTCAGCGCAGATCTTCAAAGGCTGACACCTTTTCTGTCGGAATCAGCTATAGGAACTCGCACGGCAACACTGATTCGTGTTGGCGGGCGTCTAGAAAATGCGCAAATCCCGGTAGAAGCCAAGTTCCCACTTTTACTGCCAAATGATCACAAATTCACAAATAAACTCGTCGAATTTCTTCACCAAACTAACATGCACGCAGGGCCCAAGGCTCTAATCGGAATCCTGCGTCTCCAAGTATGGATCGTTAATTCTCGTCGACTAGTTAGCAAAGTGCTGCGCAACTGTGTCCACTGCTATCATTACAAGCCTCATTTGCTGGACCAGATCATGGGGTCACTTCCTGCTGACCGGTTTGCTGTATCTGGAGTCGACCTGTGTGGTCCATTTCTGACGTCCTATCGCATTCGTGGAAGGGCTCCATACAAAACATACATGGCCGTCTTCTTTTGCTTTGCCACCAAAGCAGTACATGTAGAACTAGTATCTGATCTGTCAACTAATACCTTTATTCTCTGTTTTAAGCGTTTCATCGGGCGGAGAAGTTTGCCAAATCGGATATTCTGCGACAACGCAACCAACTTCGTTGGAACCCGCACTCAATTAGAGGAATTTAAAATGCAACTCTTCAGCCAGCAAGCGTTGAAGGACTTACAAATGTTGACCTCATCCAATGGCGTAGAATTTAGCTTCATTCCACCCCGCGCACCACATTTTGGCGGCTTGTGGGAGGCGGTGGTAAAGTCCATGAAGCTTTTATTGGTAAAAAAAACACTGGTCACTCACATCTGACGTACGAGGAACTCCAAACTGTCGCAGTTGATGCTGAAGCGGTTGTCAACTAACGACCCCTCGCGCCTCTTTCAGAAGATCCAAACGATGGAGAAGCCCTCACTCCATCGCATTTTTTGGTCGGAACGTCTTTAAAGGCACTTCCAGAGCCAAGTTTAGAGGAATGCAACCTATCGCACTTGACACGTTGGCAACGGGTAACCCACATCAAGCAACAATTCTGGGAGCTTTGGCGACGAGAGTACCTGCACACCTTGCAGGCCCGCAGCAAGTGGCTTTCTCCAAAGGCGAACATAGTCCCGGGGCAGCTGGTCATGATTCATGAAGACAACGCTTCACCTCAGCAATGGCCCTTGGGACGCATAACCAATACTTGCTCTGGAGCGGACGGAAGAGTCCGAGTCGTCGATATTAAGACGGCAAATTCGTAAGGTTGCGCCCCTGCCTATCTTACCTGTATCTTGAAAGAACGACCGTCCTTCCAACGGGCGGAGTATGTTCACGCTTGCCTCTTTATTATAGTTGAAATTGTATGCTAAAAGATTACCCTCTATTGTAAAGCATTATGATCCACAATGAAAACGGTAAATCATAAGCTTTCTTGTTATGGACAGCCCAACGAAATGCATAACCAAAAGCAGAATACAGTCTCACACATAACTTCGTGAAGTAAATATCATTGACTCCGTCGTTTTAATTTTTGGATCAAGCTCCGCCATCTGCACAGAGGCAGAGGCGGTGCAATAACAACAACCACTGGCATTTGCACGAGGGAAAATTTCACCTTTGGCTGCCTCCCATTAGGCAGCGGATTAAACAGGCTTAAAATTTGATTGAAAATCAAGACAAATAAGAATATAAATTTTTAGAGAACACTAAGTTTTATATGCAATTTGTTGCATCCTGGTTAATAAAATCTATAAAATTAGTTATAACTTTATATATTAATTGCTAGCGAGCTTTGCATATAGTTTCATTCGTTTCTCGATCTCGGGCCGAAAATGACGGATAAGTCCCTGAACTGGCCAGGCAGCACCGTCACCAAGCGCGCATATAGTGTGTCCCTCAATTTGCTTGGAAATCTCCCACAGCATATCTATCTCAGAGGGGTGTGCATCACCCTTAACAAATCTAAATCGGTTAAAGAAATTTTAATTGAATTGGATTTAATAAAACGTTTTTAAAATTTACCGCGTCATAATCTTGTTCATCCAGCCGATTCCCTCCCTGCACGGCGTGCACTGGCCACAACTCTCATGTTTATAGAAGGATATCAGCCGGGCAATAGCCTTTATCACATCCGTCGACTTGTCCATAACGATGATAGCCGCAGTACCTAGCGATGTCTGAGCGGCGATTAAGCCATCGAAATCCATAATTACGTCGTCGCAGACATTTTTCGGTATGATGGGGGTGGAAGAACCTCCGGGAATAACGCCCAGCAGATTATCCCAACCACCAGTGACGCCTCCGCAGTGGCGTTCAATCAGCTCCTTAAGTGGGATTGACATTTCCTCTTCCACAGTGCAGGGCCTGTTTACATGCCCCGATATGTTGAAGAGCTTAGTTCCCGAGTTACGAGTGCGACCGAAGCTGGCGAACCATAGGCCACCGCGGCGGCAAATGCTAGGAGCCACGGCAACAGTCTCCACATTGGTAACTGTAGTCGGGCAGCCAAAGACGCCAACGTCAGCGGGGAATGGCGGCTTCAAGCGCGGCTTTCCCTGCTTTCCTTCCAGCGACTCAATCAAAGCGGTCTCCTCGCCACAAATATAAGCTCCAGCGCCTCGGTGCATATAGACGTCGAAGTCGTAGCCTGTTCCGCAGGCATTTTTTCCAATCAGACCAGCCTGGTAGGCCTCGGAAATAGCCAGTTGCATATTCGAAGCCTCGTTGTAGAACTCGCCACGAATGTAGATGTAAGCAGCTTGGGCACCCATTGCCCGACCAGCAATCAGACAACCTTCCACCAGCTTGTGTGGATCGTGGCGCATGATCTCGCGATCCTTGCAGGTGCCAGGTTCTCCTGAGGGCGAATACAAAATCAGTCAATTCTTAGCGTCCTGAACACAAATTCTATTTCTTACCCTCATCGGCATTTACCACTAAGTACTTTGGGCGGCCGTCGCCGGGCTTGTTCATGAAGGACCACTTCATGCCACTAGGAAAACCGGCGCCTCCGCGGCCGCGCAGACCCGATGTCTTAATCTCGTTCACGATCCAGTCCGGACCCTTCAACACAATTTCCTTGGTTTTGTACCAATCACCACGCTTCAAAGCTCCCTTCAGCCTCCAGTCGTGCCGCCCATAAAGGTTGGTGAATATGCGATCCTTGTCCGCCAGCGGACCGAACTTAGTTTTTGTTTGTGGCGGAGGAGTCCCTAGGGTCGTGGGCTGGGTGCTCTGGAACCGGTGCAGCTGCAGACTGACTGGCAAAGCCCCACCTGCAATAGGCGCAGAGCATATCAATAAAATTAATTTTTTTTCGCCAAAAAATTACATAATTTGGTTGCGATAGAATCAATTGTTTTCAAGGCATGTGACACTTGTGGCAATCGAATGTTTCATGCCGATCAGGCTAATACCACTATAAGGCAACTAATTTTACTGTTATGTTGGTATCTCGGCGCTATTTACCAATATTTGGCTTCGCTAACAAATTAAATCGCGTAACAGCAGCCATTTTCGGAAGGACTGACTGACATCAGATATGTAAAAACATCGATGTTACTATCGATAGCATCGATGTTTTTCAAAAGGGCGATACACCGATGTATTTTTCCAACATGAATATTTGCTAGAGCCGTCGAAACGTAAATATTTTTACTCGAAGGGTAAAAGGGTATACTAGATTCGTCGGAAAGTATGTAACAGGTAGAAGGAAGCGTTCCCGACCCCATAAAGTATATTTATTCAGGATCAGGATCACTAGCCAAGTCGATCTAGCCATGTTCGTCTGTCTACTAGTCCCAGTAGTAGAAAAATCGTATTCTTCGTATTGTGCCTGTCAAGCAGCTGGGTTTGTTGCCGGAAGGAAACAAATCAGTTGGAGCAATTAAAAAACAAGAAAGTAAACTTCGGCAAGCCGAAGTTTGTATACCCTTGCAGTTATAATTTTTAAATTTAAAAATACGTCAAATGATATTCACAATAGTATATAGCTATAATTTGTTTCGTATTATTTTCCCACCAATTTTCCGATCGTTGCTATGGCAGCTATATGATATAGTCGTCCGATTTTGATAAAATTAAATTCCAAGTTCAGAACTTATTAAAAAATGTTATTTCCAAGAGTAGAAGGTTATATGTTAAAAAAACACCAAAGATGTAATTCTTTTATTATTTTTTCCGAATATTCTTATGGGAGCTATAAGATATAGTTGTCCGATTCGGCTGGATCCGACTTATATACTACCTGCAAAAGAAATAAGACTTTTGGGAAAGTTGCATCCCGATATCTTTAAAACTGAGAGACTAGTTTACGTAGGAACGGACGGACAGACGGACATGGCTAGATCAACTCTTCTAGTCAAGCTTATTAAAAATATATACTTTATGGGGTCGGAAACGTCTCCTTCACTGCGTTGCAAACTTCTGATTGAAATCATTATACCCTCTGCAAGGGTATAAAAAGAATCTGCTGGTATTCAAAGAATTTAAAATAAACACAAGGAAGAACGCTATAGTCAAGAAGCTCGACTATCAGATACCCGTTACTCAGCTAAAGGGACAAAAGGGAAATGTAGACACGCAAGCAGTAAAGCGAGACTGAAATGCGCCACCTACCCCTAATCACAATATATGGTTATGTGGGCGGTAGATAGATTTAAGCGTTATAGGCGTTATAGTGGGCATGGGAATGGATCAATCGATAGGTATTGACGAGACCAATACATTTCGGTAACACTTTTTTATCTAGCATAAAAATTGTGGGCGCCATAGGTTTGGGCGGTTTGTGGGCGTGGCATATTCGCGTAATAAACTTGCGCTGCGCTCAAGGCTACGAAATCTAAATCTTAAATCCCAATTCTCAATCTTTTATAGTTTCCGAGATATCCGCGTTCATATTTAAGACTTTTTGAAGTTTGTGGGCGTTAAAGTGGGCGTGGCAACCTTTTTTTTGGGTCAATCGATAGGTATTGATGTGAATAATACCGTTCAGTTAAAATTTTTATTTTAGCGTCAAAACTGTATGAGCCACAGTTTTGGGCGGTTTGTGGGCGTAAGAGTGGGCGTGGCACGCTGCTGAAACAAACTTGCGCTGCGTAAGAAGCTCAGGAATCTGCATGCCAAATCTCAATAGCCTAGCTCTATAGTTTCCGAGATCTCAGCGTTCATCCGGACAGACAGACAGACGGACATGGCTAGATCGACTCGGCTTGTGGTCCTGATCAAGAATATAAATACTTTATGGGGTCGGAAACGGCTTCTTCTGCCTGTTACATACTTTCCGACGAATCTAGTATACCCTTTTACTGTACTTGTAACGGGTATAATAATTGGAATGTTGAAAGTAATTGTTTATTTATGTAAACTCGTCCCACGGATGCTTTGAAATCTTACCCTCGCCACATGCAGTCAATTTTAGTTTCAATAGACATATTGGACCTTGAGGAAGTGGGAGCCGTTTTGGGAACGGGGTTGTTCCGCTGATGCTGCAGGAAGTCACCCTGCATCCTGGAACTGGCTGGTAATGGCTTCAGATTTCTCTCAGCAGGCATCCTTTTATCCTCCACCCCATAGAAGCCAACGCGACCTCCAGATCCGCACTAGCTGCCAAGCTGTGTGTCGTCGAATATCGTATTACTGGTTGTTCTGCTAAAAAGATACTTCTATTGGTGCCAAATCTTTTGGCCAGAACTAACTTTCTTTGCGAGGACACGCCCGGCAGGATGTCCGTGTAGAGAGCGAAGTCCTTCCCACTGGAATTCTCTACTGCATCTTCTCCAGCACTTCAAATATTCTGCGGATTCGCCCTGTTCTGGTATTGCTTTTGTCGGTAAAGTCCCACAATAATGGGCAACAGTTTGGATTAGGCGAGCTTTTTCATCTGCACTGACCTCTCTCTTGCAGGTATTTTCGGCCTATTTCTTCCATCTTAAATTTTTAGTTTCCACAGCGCTTTCGCACGAACACCGCAGGAAGCAGATTAAGCCACTCAATCAACATATTCTTTTGGCCGCCTCTAACGGCGTTCATTAAAATTCACTCGCTAAATCTGGTATTTTTTCTGGTCTTTAATTAGCTCATCTGAGTACCGCGCTGAAAAACAGACCCGACGAAAAGCGTTATTGGCTTCTCGCTCACACTTATGGTTAGCTATCGGTTTTCGTCGATGTGAGTACTAGGCATTAAAAAATCCCAGGCGTAAGTAGGGGAACGTGTTTTAAAAAAACATAGTTCTAAGTCGTATCTTTTTTACGCAAAACAGCACGTATGCAAATTTACCAAGGCAAATGTGCGTGCTGGGTGCATTCTATTGCGGTGCCTTCTAGATGTGTTTCAGAATAATGCATCCAGAAGCATGCCCAAACGGGTATTCGGGAACGTATTTCGAAACAAATAGTTCTGGGTCGTATCTTTTTTACGCAAAACAGCACGTATGCAAATTTACCTAGCAAATGTGCGTGCTGGGGGCAGTCTTTTGGGTGCCATCTGGGTGTATTTCAATAAAGTGCACAAGGCTGAACTGCGTAAATGACAAAAGTACATAAACAAGAAGGAAGCAGCAAAGCCCCGTACAGAAGGGGTGTTATTCCGATCAAAAATTAGTTGCGTTCTTGAATATTGAAATAAAAAATAAATATGAAATTTAAATCCAGTTTTATGTATTCATGGGGAATACTTCCAGATATTTGGTTTTTAAATGCTTCTAGGTGCATTCCTGGGTACATGTTACAGGTGCATTAAAAAAGAGTACACCCAGAAGGAGTTTAGTATGTTGTTTCCAGGTGCATTAAAAAAGAATGCACCCAGAATGTGTTTAGGTTGTTACTTTCTGGTGCAATAAAGAGTACACCAAGAAGGTGTTTAGTGTGTTGCTTCCAGGTGCATTAAAAAAGAGTGCACCCATAATGTGTTTAGTTTGTTACTTCCAGGTGCACTCCAAATATATGCTTCCAGAAGCATTCAACGGATGCATTCTATTTTGTCCCGCACCCGTGTAAAAAGAATGGACAGACTCATCACTTCCGGAACACCTTTTTGATGCCATTTCATAATGAAAGAACGCATGCTGGAATGCTGTAACATGTACCCAGAAATGCACCTAGAAGCATTTAAAAACCAAATATCTTGAAGTTTTCCCCAGGAACACATAAATCTGGATTGCAATTTCATATTTATTTTTTATTTCAATATTCAAGAACGCAACTAATTTTTAATCGGAGTAACTCCCCTTCTGTACGGGGCTTTGCTGCTTCCTTCTTGTTTATGTGCTTTTGTCATTTACGCAGTTCAGTCCTTGGTGTGTCTATTCATTTTAGGGATTCTGAAAAATATAGAGCAAATTGAATTAGGGTATTCAATTGCGTTGCAAAAGTGTAAACTTTGTAAGTTTGCCAGACGAGAATTGTGAACGCCCTCTATTTTAAAATATCGTTGCAGGAAATTGACGTACAAAATAACGCCAACTTTTAAATTTTTGTGAAAAGAAGGCTATGATATTTTCTGTCATTAAAACCCAACTTTTCAGTATATTTTTAGTATTTTAGATAAAATTCCTACCCGTTATTAACCCCCTATTTCTACACAAGTACAACAGATTTGTATACATAGGCTGGGGTGTTGTAGGCCTTGAAAACTATTTTGTATGGAAATTGTTGTTGGAACTGCTTACACTTTTACACTTTTCAAACGATTGCAACGCAATTGAATACCCTAAATATTTTATATTTTGAAACATGTATATATATATTACAAATATACAATTTGGGTATTCAATTGCTTTGCAAACGTTTGAAAAGTGTAAAAGTGTAAGCAGTTCCAACAACAATTTCCATACAAAATAGTTTTCAAGGCCTACAACACCCAGCCTATGTATACAAATCTGTTGTACTTGTGTAGAAATAGGGGGTTAATAATGGGTAGGAATTTTATCTAAAATACTAAAAGTATACTGAAAAGTTGGGTTTAAATCCATGGTAATGACATTGAGAGAAAAGAAACAAATTTGAATTTTAAATGCAAAAGAAAAACATTTGTCTTCTATAAAACAAAATCATTGAATAACAATTTCAATGGAAGAAAAACCCTCAAGAAAGCGAGCCAGAGAGGTCGAAACTAAGCGATGGTCTGAGAGCGAAGTTAATAAAGTCCTACATTATATGTTGGAGCAATACAAAAATTTAAAAGTTACCTTTCTATTGTACGTCAATTTCCTGCAACGTTATTTTAAAATAGAGGGAGTTCATAATTCTCGTCTGGCAAACTTACAAAGCTTACACTTTTACAACGCAATTGAATACCCTAAATATATTTATTTTGGCACAATAACACTGTTGTATGTACAATTTACATACAAATAATTTTTATTTTATTTGCTAATATGTTTTTAGTTTGAATGTTCAATGTACATGTACTGTTATTTTTTTGTGTTCATATTGAACTAAATTATCTACACTTTATTTACCTGTGAAACTATTGATGTAAAATTGGTGGCAGAAAGCAACAAACTTTTTCAAAACACGTGGCACGATCTTCACTTTTCAGAACTAAAAATGCAACTGACGAGAAATGCAAGAGACAAGAAAAATCGCTCGCTTCCTTGCATGTTCCCTTTTGTCTTAATTATTTGATTGTCAAGAGAACAGTACCGAAAAAAGACTATTGTACAAAAATGGTCATCGGCAACCCTGTGGTTTGAGTTTTGTTTCTTTACATTTCCACTAAAATACACCTAGATGCACTATATTGAAATACACCCAGATGACACCCAAAAGACTGCCCCCAGCACGCACATTTGCTATGTAAATTTGCATACGTGCTGTTTTGCGTAAAAATGATACGACCCAGAACTATTTGTTTCGAAATACGTTCCCGAATACCTGTTTGGGCATGCTTCTGGATGCATTATTCTGAAACACATCTAGAAGGCATTGCTATAGAATGCACCCAGCACGCACATTTGCCTTGGTAAATTTGCATGCGTGCTGTTTTGCGTAAAAAAGATACGACCCAGATCTATGTTTTTTTAAAACACGTTCACCAACTTACGACTGGGTGCTTCTAGATGCATTTTTCTGAAACTCATCTAGAAGGCACCGCAATAGAATGCACCCAGCACGCACGTTTGCCTTGGTAAATTTGCATGCGTGCTGTTTTGCGTAAAAAAGATACGACCCAGAACTCTGTTTTTTTAAAACACGTTCCCCAACTTACGACTGGGTTGTCATGCTTTTTTTAAGGGAATGTCCAGCTTATGTCCTTCTTGGCAAGATCTGGCATCGGTTGCACCAAAACGTACATTATTTATCTAAAGAAAAAGTCATTTGAGGAAGCATCATTCTTCCAAAGTTGTTGCCTAATAAATGGATGTAGTCAAAAAACCATCTGCTAGAAACGTGTTATAAATACTTATAAGGCTTGAAACGGTTCTAAGTTGTGAATATTCGTGGAGTCACTTTTAGCCCACAACAGTCCCTATTCAAGTTTTGAAATGGAAATCTAACCGTTGATCAATTTGCTATTGGCAAAGAAATCGTTCAAATTGTATTTAGTTTTGCGATGCTATCCATTTTTTTCGGAGAAACTTAAATTTCATGTCCTCTCCTTTTGGATACGGTGTGCTTAGACCGATCAGATGTTCGCTTCAGCGATTCCCTATGAGAACAATAATCCGCTTAAAATTGCAACAGCGACTTTAAACGGCTGTGTGCAGAGGCTATAACGGAAATGTTATACTTGATGAGTCAATAAATCGTATGTTGAGAAAAATACGTTTATACTAGACGCAAATAAGCAATTGTAGTGTAAATGGTTGTCAGACACTCACACTATATTCTCTTTTGTTTTGTTGAAAATGGCGCAAAAGCAGAGCAATGAGACAACCAGCGGAACAACTGAAATCATTGACCAAGCGGTGTCCTGTGCCGCGTCGCAGGTTCAGACCACGCCCACACTGCAATTGCGACTAGAACATCCGCAGGACGAACGCCGGGTGGTTTTTCATGCCGGGGTTATAGACAATGAGAATTTGAATCGCAAGAAATCAAAATGTAAGCCTTATTTACGGTCCCGCTGCGTATCGCTGATTACCTTCCATTTTAGGCTGCTGCATATTCAAAAAACCTCTGGCGTTCGACGAGAGCTCTTCGGATGATGACGAAGACTGCGAGCACTGCTTTGGGCATCCCGAAAAGCGGAGGAGAAACGCCAAGAACAATGATGATCGCGATGTAAACTTGTGTCCGGAGGCTTCGCATTCCGATGGACCATCTACATCCACGAGAGCGGTGGACTGTATTCCACCGCCAGCAGAGCCCGTTGAGCTGCCGGCGAATCAGAAAAATCCTATCGAATGCGTTGACTTTGAACACGCAAATAGTTCGTAGTGCTTCAATTAAAAAAGGTATAATTATAAACGTTAACACGAAACCAACTGGCAGCAAGCACTTGTATCTACAAATGTTTTTGAGCAGTTGGAGATTTTAAACAAGATACGGTCAGTTCTTGGTCTTAAGTTCAAATGACTCGCTGACATTATTGGGTATATTAAACTCCTTTGCTTTTGCCCGAGAGCGCCAGACCTGAGGAAACGCCGAGGTTAAACACTTCAATAGTAAAGTAGTGGTTAGTGGTACACACCTTGATTGTGTAATCGTCACTGGTGGTTATTAGCATCTCAGAGTCGCGCGGGTTGAAGGCCACACTGTTAACCACGTCTGAGTGCTTAAACTTGGCCAGACTGATACCATAGTATCGGTCCCAGAGGTAAGCGTGCTGATCTTCAGCCCCACTGGCTACGTACTCGTCGCATACGTCGAGGAAGATAAAGAAGCACTCCGTACTGGGCGTGTACGCCTTGTGGGAGCGTAGCATGTTACCCACCCGCTTGAGTGTCATAAGGTCAATCACGTGGATATCTATTTCTTGGGCGATCGGTGGTGGCTCCAAAGGGTTAATGATCACGTAGTTCTTCGGCCACGGACGTGTGTTAACGTACAAGAATCGATGGTCCGGGCTCAGAGCCATACCGATGATGTGACCGTGCAGATCTATCACCTTGTCCACCTTATCGAACCTGTCTTTGACAGACTCGTAATCCCACCAGTCGGGATCTGTGCGCGGTGTCTGATGTTGCTCCGCGGCCCGCTTTGCAGCTATTCTTTCCTTAAGTGTTGGTCCAGGATCTAGCTTTTTGGGAAAGTATACATTGTGTATGCGCTTGAAACCGATTTGGTGTGGCGTAAAGGTCTTAGAACCTGTTGAAAAAATTAGATATCTTGGCATACTGTTCTCCATCTCGTCGAATTCTTCTTGTACATCCATAGAGTCGTACCTCTCTTCATCGTATTCGTTCGGTTCATTGGCGGAGGCAACAGCTTCCCTGTATTCCTGCAAGTAGTGAATGGTAGAATCGCCGCGTCGCGAGCTGGAACGCCGTTCCCTTATGTCCGGCAAGTAGTACTCTTCGGAAATAGCGCTCCTTGTGCGTTGAAGGCTAGCAGCATGAGGCAGAGGATTGCCACTCGCCTGCGAGATCGACCCCTGATCGCTTTTGTGCGGTAAAAACGCCGCACTGTGAGGTTCTTGCTGAGCCACCGTGGCTAGCGGATCGTTGCTCTCGTCCAGCCACGGACACCTGGCTACCATTACGGCTCTCACTGAACTCGCGTTCCTGTTATAGAACTTGTATAGCTGGCTCATTATGGGAACGTGTTCTGAGTCAATTTCCTGGTTAGCCTTGTTAAGCCACAGAACCGAGGTGCTCACAAGATGCGCCAGCCAGTGCAAATCGCCCGAGATCAAATATTGGTCACTGAACCAGGTGCCAAAAATGTCGTATGGACGGTTAACTACCCGGCAGCGTAGGTGTGACTCAGTTGCCCCCAGATAAAATACCGCAATTTCCCCAGATGTGGACTGGGGCGAGCCAAAATGGACACCCGAGACTAGGAGCAAGGTGTCGCTCTGATTGAACTGCGAGTACTGAGAATACTTCCAGCTAAACTGCTTCATGTTGTGCGCGTACTTCTCAGTACACGGGTGCGTAGCGTTCCATACCTGCAAGTATGAGATTGGTATCTATGTATTCTTTACGGATCCGATAAGGTCTCACTATCACATAGCCGTCCTTGGAACATGTGGCAAACATTTCGCCGTTGTGGGCAAAGCTCACATGCAGCACCTGGTGCGTGTGTCCATGGTTATTTTCCATTGTAGGCTCCAGACTCTGCGCCTGGACAAAGGGAATATGCATGGATAGGCGCTGGTACTCCGATCGCCAGCTTTCGGCCCCTGGTCTAAGCAGAATGCTCTGAGAGGCCTTGAAGTGCTCCTGAAACTTATGGCGCCATAGCAGATCGTCTTGGGCAATGCTGTGCCACCTCCGACAGCATAGGCTGGTCTTCAGGAGATCAACCACACTCAGGCGCTCAAAGACCATTAAAAGCGCAGGCTCCGGCAAAGCCCACCAGCCGAACGGATCGGGGCCAGAGGATCTCTCGCCGTTTTCCACCAACTCCATTAGATTTTTGTGTTGAAGCAGATAGCTCCCCGTTTGCGTTTGTAAATTGCTGGTGTTATGTTGTGTCCGCGCCGAAGGATAATCTTTCTTTGCCTCAGCCGCTACGAAACTGCAGATGGCTTTCTCCCTTATTGTTATTGCTATCACAGGCCAACAGAACAGCTGCTGATATAAATTATTTTCGACCTTTCTCACTGGCTGCAGTATCGATTTCGATCCACATCCACCACCGAAAAAACAAGAGTTCATGCATGCAAAATAGAGATTCCCAGTCGTAAATGAATGCGTCTGGTAGCATATATCTGGAATGCACCTGGAAGTAACAAACTAAACACATTATGGGTGCACTCTTTTTTAATGCACCTGGAAGCAACATACTAAACACCTTGGTGTACTCTTTATTGCACCAGAAAGTAACAACCTAAACACATTCTGGGTGCACTCTTTTTTAATGCACCTGGAAGCAACATACTAAACTCCTTCTGGGTGTACTCTTTTTTAATGCACCTGTAACATGTACCCAGGAATGCACCTAGAAGCATTTAAAAACCAAATATCTGGAAGTATTCCCCATGAATACATAAAACTGGATTTAAATTTCATATTTATTTTTTATTTCAATATTCAAGAACGCCACTAATTTTTGATCGGAGTAACACCCCTTCTGTACGGGGCTTTGCTGCTTCCTTCTTGTTTATGTACTTTTGTCATTTACGCAGTTCAGTCCTTGGTGTGCCCGTTAATTTTTTGCTATTCTGAAAAATAAAAAGCAAATTGAATATTATATATTTTGAAACATGTATATATATATTACAAATATACAATATATTTATTTTGGCACAATAACACTGTTGTATGTACAATTTACATATAAATAATAATTATTTTATTTGCTTAATATGTTTTTGGTTTGAATGTTCAATGTACATGTACTGTGTTATTTTTTTGTGTTCATATTGAACTAAATTATCTACATGTTACTTAAAATGTAAAAAATTAAAATGATGTAAAATTGGTGGCAGAAAGCAACAAACTTTTTCAAAACACGTGGCACGAACTTCACTTTTCAGAACTAAAAATGCAACTGACGAGAAATGCAAGAGACAAGAAAAACCGCTCGCTTCCCTGCATGTTCCCTTTTGTCTTTATTATTTGCTTGTCAAGAGAACAGTACCGAAAAAAGACGATTGTAAAAAAGTTCTTTTTGAGTTTGTTTTTTTACATTCCCACTAAAATACACCTGGATGCACTATATTGAAATACACCCAGATGGCACCCAAAAGACTGCACCCAGCACGCACATTTGCTAGTTAAATTTGCATGCGTGCTGTTTTGCGTAAAAAAGATTCGACCCATAACTATTTGTTTCGAAATACGTTCCCCAACTTACGATTGGGTTTGCCTTGACGATAGCCAATACTCACCGCTAAAATTAAATATTTAACAATATATGTGCATTGTATGTATGTATGACACCGTCGATGTTTTTCATTTTATACATAAATGTATTCAGATTTTAATATTATGTTTGAAGCAAGTACCTTAGACAATCACAATTAATTTTTTTTAACAAAAATGTCATGATCAAGGAACATTTAAAAAAAAAAACCAATTATTCCAGTGCTTTTCATATGAATCATAGTTTTATTTTTATCTTTCCCGTTTTTTTTTAATTTGAAGGATAATGGTTATTTTTTTAGTTTTATATACTGCCAAAATATTCCAAGAAGGATTCTGGGTGTTCTTAGTAGAATTAAACCCCTGATCACAAAAAGATCATCTAGACAATTTTTGTTATTAGTTTGTTTATCTCCTTTTTTTTAATTATATCTCGACCATAATTTTGGCGAGTAAATTACTAAGTTGAGTCAATTGTGAGCTACAACTCGGAAAATTTGAAAATTTAGAATTTTTAGACAATTTTGAGAGACAGAGACACGTTTAATTCTTAAGTGAACGTACGTTAACAAGCCATTTGTCAAAATACATGGTAAGATAGATTAAATTTTATTTATTAAACTTCGTAAATAATATAATTCTATACATTTGACTCCTTATTTCTTCATTTCCACTCCACCATTGAGGTAAAGGTTTTAGCGCGTTTTTGTTGTGGTTTCCCCATGAACGTAATCCTCAATGCAAATATTGAATTAATTATCTTTTAATTTCAAAATTTTACATTTCCGGCATGACTTTCCCATAAACGATATTTTTGAATTTTTTCACTGGTGCTTGTAAGTAATTATATTAATTTAATTTATAATAATGTAGCGGAAAGGTGATATGGAGAACCACAAATCTATTTGCTTAAACATTTATATGTATTTAATTAAACATAGGAACGCAATTTTTGTTTGTAATATGAAACTAGTTTTGCCCTTTGAATAAAATGTGTTAAATCTGTTGGGTCCGCAAAGAGACCCTCTCTCGCCATGCCTCAGCTGGAAAAATGCGGGTGAAGGCAAGGAGGCCCAGAAATTAAAATGTAAATTAAATTCGTCGTTAATAGATGAATTAAAAAAATTTATTTTTAATTTTTAAAACTTGGGTGATAAACCTTTATTCTTAAACTGAATTAATACAAGACACTTTTTAAAAATTGTGAACCGATCGCGGTCTCGGATAAAATAGGACTGAATCTTAAACAAAGGCGAAGGTAATGTCGCTGAAGGCAAGGGTAACATAGCTGAGATTGAATTCAAAAATTTGTTTATAAATTCCATAAGTGAAACCGTTTCACGGGTTGGATAACTCTCCCCCCTCTAAAATGGATCGTCCCGATTCAATATGAAATTCATTTAATTGATCTCTTAATTCTGTTAAAAAATTTTCTTGGTTAATAGGTTTTTCTCGTTCTGGCCGTTGTTTTTTGGTTACAAATAATATGACATTTTTGTATATTATAATA